AAAGGGTCCTCTTATACAGCAGTAAACTATTTTTCCAGACTAGGAAGGATTCCCGTAGGCCTGTGGGGAGCGCCATTTTCTCTCCAGTTTCCTAGCATTTTGTTTCAAAGTACGCAGCTCTGTCATCGTTGGTCAGATCTTGCTTTATGAAGGGTCATTTCATACAGAAGTAAATAGTTTTTGGTTCATTTAGATGATGGAAACGCCTCCTAAAATGATATGTTTCCCTTTAGGCTTTCGCTGAGGGAACGGCTTTGACCTTTGACCACACCCTGAAAGAGAAACCTCCCTTTACCATTAAAAATTCTCTGGGGATTCCAGTTATTGTGCAGCACAGCGCCTCCTTGAGGCCTGTTGGCTCTGTGGCGCAAGGAAAATTACACGAGCTCTCGGTGGATCAGAGCATGGACCTGGTGCACTCCGGATTCGAGTCCACCATGGGGGGGAAGCTGTCAGCCCTGGAGAGGCAGGAGAGCTGCCTGTTTAACCTCACCGTCGGTACGAAGCCTTGTTGTCATCCACGGTTTCCACAGAAGTCAGTTTTACTGACGCCGTCTCTCTGAACCTGCAGTACCGTCCGGATACAGCGAGATCTGCAGCATCCCTGTGGACAAACCCGGCCGTCGGCTCTACAACGTTCGAGGTCCGATGCTGCAGGAGGCCGTGTCGGTGCTGCTGCAGATCGACGCCGCCGAAGGCAACAAGATCATCACCGTCCGTTCGCCCCTGCAGGTCAGAAGCACTAACACACCCCGTCAGGACCGAGACTCACCGTCTGAACGATGCTCACCATGGCTGTCTGTCTGCAGATCATGAACCACTTTTCAGAACCCTTCTCTATCCTGAAGTACTGTGCAGCCTCCAGAGACCTGCAGAGCATCGGCACAGCGGAGCCTGAGAAAGAGTTCCATGTGGATCTGGATGCATACAGGTATGATTACCCGACACGGTGCCAGGTCGATGGGGTTGTTATTCTGGTCAGCTGACGGTGCCAGGCTGCTCTCTGCTTGCAGGTGTCAGCTGTTTGTGCGTCCAGCGGGCCGCCTGGACGGGCTGTACGCCGCGTCCTCCAGCTGCATGGCGTGGAAGGAGCAGGTCCACTGCAGCGCCGAGGTCCAATCCGTCCTGCAGTGTCCTGCGTCCGACAGCAACCTGCTGCCGCTCATGGTCAGCACGCTGGCCGTCCCCGACGACCTGCGGCACATCTCCAGTCATGGCGAGGAGGACTGGGACCCCGCCTACGTCATTCACCTGCATCCTGTGGCTGCACTGTGCAACCTGCTGCCGTACACAGTCAGCTACATCATGGAGGTACGGGAACACCTGGGAGGGTGGAGATACATCATCCATCCATCCATCATCCATCCATCCATCCATCCATCCATCCATCCATCCATCATCCATCCATCCATCCATCCAT